ACTGGACATGCTTTCCACAGGGGGCCCATGCCAGTTCCCACTCCATTCCCACGTAGCTCCCACCATATGCCACCCCAAACTTACCACACCCACCTACCCCCTCTCCCAGACTCTGTTTCCCCACTTCACTATCGCCCAACTCCTGCCTCTAGCAGGGTTTGCTCTCCCGCTGGCAGCCGCACCTCCACACCCCAACTCACTCCTGGGCCGGCCAGCTGACCAGAGGGCCCGGCCAGAGTTCTGATTCATCTGGAATCTGAGAGACTGACTTCTTCCCCGACTCCTTTCCTTTCCTTACCAAATGTGCCCCACCCTTGGCCATCACCTGCCCACACTTTTTCAGACACCCCTTAACCCCAGAGAACTTCTTTGGCTGTCAGGGGCCAGAGCTCCCTTTCATTCCCCACCTTTCAAACTTTCCCCTGGATTCAGGGAAACCTGGGCTTCTGGCTGAGGTCAGGCCATGAGCCCTCTCCCCGCGGCAGCTGCAGCGGCGAGGGCTCCTTCCAGCCTGCCAGCGGCACCCCGCGCCCACTAGCCCACTCCGCCCTGGTCCCTGGTCTCACCAGTGGCAGCAGTGGGCCAGGCACGGTGGCGAGGCCCATGTCCGGCCAGCTGTAGCCTCTTACTCCCCCATCAGGGCCCAGGCAGCGGAGGCAACGGTGGTGGCGGCAGGCGACGTGGCATCGACTGAGTCCCGGAGTCCCGGGATGAGCCGGTCAGGAGGTCCCAAGAGGAGCCCTGGCCTTAGGTGGGGGAGTGAAGGGTTGAGCTTGGGATGAAGATCAGGATCCAGTCCCAGGGGCCTCAAACCCCGAAGGCCAGAACCCGAGCCTGAGCCCGGACTACGAGAAAGAGGTGGGAGGGAAAGGGAGAGAGGCCGATGGGTGTTGCAACAGCAAGACAGGAAGGACTTGGGGGAGGAGGCTGGAGGAGGCGGGTAGAGGCGGGACGAGGGGGGCAAAGGTTTTTTAACTCTTTGTAGCACAGTGAGAGGCTCCACAGTCCTGGATGCACCAACCTGACCCTCCCAACCAAACATCCACGCGCAGTAAACCCCTTCCCTCCTCACCCCCATTCCCTGGCTTCTCCCAATTGAATAGCAATAGACAGACCCAGGGCTTTGGGTTCAAATTCCCTGGGGTACAGGTCAGAATCCTCTGCTTTTTAGCTGGGTGATCTTGGACAAACAATCTAAACTTTCTGAGCCTACTTTCCAACGTGCCAAATAGTGAGAGCCCATTTGAAGTGGTTGCTGTAAGGATTGATTGAAACAGGGCAGATACGTGTCTGATACATGACAAGGACTCCGTGTTCCTCAGTAACTCTTCCCGTTCTCCCAGAGTTCTCCACTGACACCCTCATCTCCCACTTTCTTGGGAATGTACCTCCCCAATCTAAACCTCCGAGTAAATCCTAACCCCAGTTTTCTGCCCTGGCTTGTGGCCTTCACACCCTCCCCCCAATCTGATTCTCACCCAACCTGTGCTAGGCTGGGTCTCACAGCTGCTAAGCCTGGCTCTGCCACCAAACATTGGTGGGACCTCACACAGCACCTCCACTGGGTCTTGGCTCCCTCGTTATGGAGTGAGAGGAACAATGCCTATCCCTCCAACACAGGATAGCGGTGTCACGAGGATTAATGAGATCATATCTGTGAAAACGCTTTGGGAATTCCAGATATCTCAATCCGATATTACTAGTACGTTCCCAGAGCCCTTTTCCCAAATATCATTCTGTATTTCAGTCCAAAGCGACCTTCGAGATCATCTACTGCACCTTCTTGTTTTATAGATGAGAAAACTGAGAGCCAGAGACACACAGAGCATGTTCCCTGAGGACCCTGAAACCCAGGGGCCCATTTTGCTACCTTAGACACATGACCACTTTTCTGTCTGTCTCTCTGGTTCAGATCCCACTCCTTGACTCTGGGTATTTTATGTCACCCCAATTCGTGCAGGACATCTCCAAAATGAATCACACAAGGGTACAATGTTCACTCAAAATGTCTTCTGAACAAAATGACCTTCCCTCTACCCAGCCCAGGCCCGTGGTCCTCTGGTGGCTGAGTTTGCTAGAAATGCAGGAAGACAGAGGAGTGAGGGCTTTGTGACTTGGGATCAGAGCTCCTGGTTCCTTCTCCCCTTGATCCAGAAGCTCAGGTCCCTACCCCAGAGTCCACCCTGCCTGGCTTTTCCTGGCCTCCCCTCTCTGATCCTAAGGACAGAGCATCCATAGGTGAGAATGGAGCTTGGATGTCCCCACCTTGGGCTGACTTCACTCCACCCCACCCCCCAGCCTCTGAAGAACTGGAGAGTTGAAGCTGGACTCAGAGGAACTCACCTCTACCAACACACAGGGAGCCTCCAAGGATGGTACAGTGGACCGGAAGCAGGGCTCTCAAAGCAGAGTCATTGGAATCAAGTGCAAGAGTCAGAACGCCCAGTTTCCACTGTGAAGAAGCAAGGAGGGCCACAGGTTCCTCACCTACAAAACGGGGAACACCCCAGTACCCTCACGTCATAGGCACTGATAAGTAAATGCATACGAAGTGTTTAGCAAGTGTTTGCGGGATACCAAGGATTCAATAAGAAAGAGGTAGCAATATTAACCGTTTGTGTTAATAATTAATAATGACCTCAATGTCCTAGTTTTAATGTTACAAGGAATTTTAATAGTCTGTGCCAACTTTCAAGCCATTACACATAGCCTGGTAGAAAAAGAGAATCTCTATCATTGTTCAGGATAAATGCTAATTCACTCAATAAGTTTAAAGTTTTGAGAAATGTGGTATTAAATAGTTTTTATTTTATTATTTATTATTTTTTTAATCCTCACTCTAGACGGCGTGGAAGCGGGGGAGGGAGAGAGAGAAACATCAATGTGAGAGAGACACATTGATTAGTTGCCTCCTGCGCCCACCCCAACCAGGGCTGGGGGTCAACCTGCAACCCAGGTATGTGCCCTTGACCCAGAATTTAACCCACAACCCTTTGGTCTGAGGGCTGATGCTCTAACCACCGAGCAAACGAGCCAGGGCTCAATAAAATTGTTTTTAAAAAGATGGTGAGAGTTAGATAGACCTAGGAATATGAAAAGCTAACTAGTTTCATGGAGAAATTTCTTCCAGGGAAAGAAGGAATAATGGTGAGAGAGAGAATGGGATAGATGGAGAAATCGAAGAGGAGCAAATTAGGGGATGACAGAATTGGTTGTTAGGGTCTATGGAGCAAAGGATAGAAAAGAGAGCTTCAAATGGCAGAGTCCCCCCGACCCCACAACCTCTCTCTGTCTCTCTCTCTCTCTCTCTCTCCCTCTCTCTCTCTCTCACACACACACACACACACGCACGCACGCACGCACGCACGCACGCACACACTCCACAGCAGTACAGAGTGATCCAAAGGGCACTGGACTCCAGATGAGGATGATGTGGGTTGCAGCCGCAGCCTTGCCATCCTGACTCTCTGGGTCATAGAAAGAGACTCAGGTTCCAGGCTGGTTCTGTAAGAATCATGAACTTGAGCAAGTTATGTCGCCTGCTAAGGAAAGGAAGGCAACTTAACTGGATCCTCCCTAACACTCAAATTCTAACTCCTAACCCTGAGGTCCAGGGGGAGCATATAGATACGGGATGGAGAGAAGGAAACCCCACAGAGTGGAAACTCCACAGGCCAAGACAACTCCAGGTGGGGAGGAGCTGATTGCCATTATCTGTAACAGGTCAGCTGTCCAACAGGACTGCCCACCCCAGCCAGAGGACAGGCCGCTGGGGATAGGTGGGGCAAGCCTGGGCTGTGGCAGAGAGTACACAGGGCGGACTGAGCCTGAGGGCTCTGACGGAAGAGACTGTTGTAACACCACCATTTCCCTCTCATCAGTTTGAGTCTAGGAAAGGGAAGTCGGAAAGCACCGCATCAGTTCCTGGTCACAACCTTATCCATCTCTCCATTCCCTTCACCATCTCTTCCTCTTTTCCCAAGATTCCTCTTTTCCTCTTTGCTCCTCAGGACAGGGAGACTGTAATTGAGGGGAGTAAGATCAGGGCAGTAAGGGAAATGTCCGAAAAGTGACAAGGAAGTGTAACTTCTAGGTTCCAAGTGTCATGCTGCAGTGAGGGGAGGAACCAGGGGATCGAAAACCCGGGCTCCACTCAGACATCCCTCAGTCTCTCCTCTATTGAAACCTGGGAGGGCCTGGCTGGTGTGGTTCAGTGGTTGAGCATTGACCCATGAACCAGGAGGTCCCAGTTTGATTCCCAGTCAGGGCACATGCCCAGGTTGTGGGCTCAATCCCCAGTTGGGGGTGTGCAGGAGGCAGTTGATCAATGATTCTCTCTCATCACTGATGTTTCTATCTCTCTCTCCCTCTCCCTTCCTCTGTCTGAAATCAATAAAAAACATAGTTTTAAGAAATAACCTGGGAGGATTCCCACTGCTCTCACTCTAGGATGATGCAAGAATGAGAATACACAGGCTTTGAGGGTCCAGAAGAATGTGGCCTGAGTCTCATCCTCCTCCACCACAACTGTGCAGCTGATGGGGAGGGAGCAGATGAGGACGTTATGTTGCAGCTGGGTGGTGAGTGGTGGGTGCTCCACGAATGGAATGAAAGGTTGCTGATGATGGTAGCTAAAGTTGGGAGGAAAAGGACGTTTAGACAATGGACGGGTGAGGGAGTACGCGACTGGGGGATGTGGGGGAGTTATCCCAAGCACTGCCTAGTAGGTCTGAGGGGAGTGCCCACATCTTTGCCCTCCCACCCTAACATGGTGATGGGCACATAACAGATGCATATCAATGTTCATGGAGGAACTAGCAGGACAGTTTGTCTCTCCTGAGGCCCCCAAAGAATGGCCATTTCCATAGTGAAGCTGAGGGTCAGAGTCTGTCTCCCTCACCCCCACCCCAGGACCTCCTAGGAGCTTGAGTAGAGACACAGGGACACAGATCCACTCCCTACCCCCTATAGGCACCCCATTCAACTCTCCAGACATTTTTTTATGCAACAAATATTTATTGAGTGCCTGCCTACTTGCTCCAAGTCGGACACTGGGGTAGACCCTGAAGTTACATAAATGAACAACAGTCCCTGATCACAAGGAGCTCACAATCTAGTTGGGGAGGCAGACACAAATGAACAGGAAAGTAAAACGCAAAATCAGCATTCCAACCAATGTTATGGTGCACTATGGGAGTCCAGGGAAGAGGGGAGTGATCAATTCTGGGGAAGACAAGATGGGGCAGAAGCCTTCATAGAAGTAGTTGTGTCTGTGTAGGGTTCTAAGGGATGCATAGGAGTTCTCCAGCCAATGGTGGGGAAAGCTTCCAGGTTTAGGAAATAGTTTGAGATGACTTGCAGAGGTGTGAAGGATACAGGCAGAGTGCTAGGATGGGCTGTGGGGGGTGGGCGGGGGCGCGGGGTGTTGGTAGGGGTATAGATGAGGCTGGAAGAGTCCTGGGTCCAACTGGAAACGCCAAACCTTCACTGCACTGGTCTGCTCCAGCCCCTACTCTGGGGAGTCATGGAAGGGGACTTGCCCAAGAAATAACTCAGGGGGCTTTTGGGTAAAGTTCCCCACCCAACTTCAAGAAGAGGAGCAAACGTCTGTGTCGCTGGAAAGCAGTGTGGCCAGGCCAGTCAGAGCTGGCTTCAGTCATCCTTGGGTAGGAGACCTGGGCATGCCTTTGTTTGCCCTTGTGTGTTTTGTTCTGGTCTTCATTTGTTTCCTAGCAAAGTTCCTTGTCAAAGCTCCAAGTCTGACTTGGCTGATCCGAGGGAAAAGGAGATTTTTCTCCACTTGGATGAGGAAGCCAGAGGGTTCTAGAGGCAGGACCAGGGGGTACTGGGCAGAAGCCAAGGGCAATTCTGGGCAGCTTCCGTGGCCCCTGTTTTCCAAGCAATTTCTGTAGCTCCTTATTCACCCTGCTTTCCTCCTCCACACTAAAAGCAGTTGGGGCAGCTGAGAACAAGCCCAAAACATTCTTTAATCCTGCCAAGGTTTGTCCCCACCCACCAAGGGAAGCTGCTTGCCTCAGGGGCTGACACCCTCCTTTCCTCTCAGGTTTCCTCTCAGGGCTCCTCCAGAGTGAAAACAGAGGAGCTGGCCCCTGCCAAGCTGGATGGAGCTGGGCAGGGGCCCAGGGTGGCATAGGCTGGTGGAGGGGCCGTCAAGGTTGGGGAAGTATCAGGGCTTGGCAGGGATGATGCCAGGGAGGGGAGCTTGGGGCAAACGCTGGAAGGGAGGGAGGAAGCTGGAGTGGAGGCCACTTCCTGGGCACCTCTGCCCCCTCGGCCTGGAGACCAGTATCGGCTTCTGAACCTCCGGAGCAGCATGAGAAATGTAATGACCATGAGGTCAAAGATGAGCTCCGCCATCTCCACCACAGACAGCACCGAGGAGCCGAACCACAGGCTCCACTGGCTGCCCAGGTTGGACAGGAGGGTGACCATCTGTGAGGGCGAAAGGCACACTGACCACTGGACAGAGGGCCCGGGGTGGGCTCCGGCAGAGGAGTCCCATCCCTCCTTACCTGAGGTCCTCAGCCACCCCTCTCAGCCTCTCGGTGGCCCCCTGGACCCCTTCTGTCCAAGTCATACCCACCTGGCACACCCTTCCCTCCCACTACCCCAAGAGGCTTCATCCCCCAGCCAAGTTCCCCTTCTTCCAACTCTCTCCCCCCCACCCCTCTCTTTGGTCCCCTACCTTCAAGGCCCAGACACTCTGGCCCAACAAAGGCAACCCCTTGTTTTCCCTGATCCTCCAGAAAATCACAAGCTCAGTGAGGCAGGACGTACCGTGACGGAGGGAGACTCAGAATTGGTTTTGTAGTTCAGCTCCTTGAAGAAGACATTGAGTTTGGCAACTCCGTTTCTTTGGAGAAGGGGAGAGGGTGGGAAGAAATGGCACAGGATTAACTTCTCAGAACCTCACAGACACCCTCCTCTAATCACCTATATCAATCCTTCTTTCCAGATTTGATTTTCCTCCCAAGGATTTCTTTCTTGGGGCTGGAACCAGGGTAGGACTGACCTCTTGTTTTTGATGGTGTAATTATTCTGTAGGGATAACATCCGGAAGACCCAGTCCTGGGAGAGAATTGGAATGTCAAGGGGGCCACCCATATTCTCCAGGCTCACAGATTTGGGGGTGGGGTCAAACACACCCATATACATATACCCAGAGAAGACCACAGGGTCATACACACGTCCCTGTCCTTCCCCTTCCCCACTTTACCTGGGATGTCACTGAAGGCCATCGCGAGTAACCTGCAGAGAGCTTGTAACTGGTCACACTGGGGATGGAGAGAGGCACTCAGTAATGGGGGTGGGGCTCTCCCACTCAAAGGCTTAGCTGAGTACCTGTATTCCACCCAGCCTAGCAGCCCGCTGCCCAACCTGTGTCCAGGCAAAGGGGACACTCACCTGCATGGCTTCAGGCACTTGGTGAAACAGCCCAGGCGATCTGAGGAGAAGGCACCCTGGAGCTTATAGTAGCAGTAGCCTGTGGGTGCAGAGCGGACACCTCAACCTTCTCTGCCCCACACCCAAGAGGCCTCTCAAGATCCCAGGGCACCCCCTTCCCAAGAGTATCCGATTACAGTGATGTCTCCTGAGTGGCTGCACCCATAACAGTTTAAGAAATTAAGCTAATTTTTTGGGGGGTGGGGGGTGGTGCACTACATCTATGTAAAGATGTGTAGGATTTAAACAAAAATTAGAAAGTCAGAAAGAATGGGAACAACTGTGTAAAGTAATGAGATTAAAGCACAATGAGATATCACTTCATACCCACTAGAATGGCTATAATTGAACAAAAGACCAACATCACCCCAATAAATTCAATTTAAAAAAGGACAACAGCAAGTGTTACTATAGAGACACTGGAACCTCCTACATTGTTGTTGAGTGTGTCAAATGGTGCGGCCACTTTGGAAAACCGTCTGGCAGTTCCTCAGAATTTTAAACATACAGCTATGATCTGACTCAGAAATTCCACTCCTAGGTATATACCCGAGAGACTTCAAAACATCTGTTCACACAAAAACTTGTACACAGATGTTCATAGTCACTATAGTATAAAAAGTATAAAAAACCCAAATGTCCATCAACTGATGAATGAATAAACAAATGTGGTCTGTCCCTACAATGGAACATTATTTGGCCATAAATAGGAATGAAGTTCTCGCACATGCTACAAGATGGATGAATCTTGAAAATATCCCAGTCACAAAGGACCATAGGTTATATGATTCTACATATATGAAAGGTATGGAACAGGCAAATCTAGAGACAGAAAGCAAACTAGTGCTTGCCAAGGGTGAGGGGGTGGGGAGAGGGAGAATGGCACTGTGGGTGCAGGGAATGGGGAACTTGAAGAGTGCTAATGGGTACAAAGTTTCTTTCTGGTGTGATAAAAATGGCTATGTCCATTGTTGCACAACTCTATGACTATACTAAAACCTAAAACTACCTTAAAATTGAATTGTGCACTTTAAATGGGTTGAATTGTCTCAAAAAGCTGTTACCAAAAAAAAAAAAAAAAGAAAGAAAGAACAGTGGGTTTAGAGATTCCCTTTCTCCCCCATTTGCCAAAGTCTAAGTAAGGTTCTATTGTCCTTCCTGCTACTCTTAGTCACCCACTCTGGAAGTCCTCCTTCATTTCTGGCCCAAATTTCTCAGCCTACCAGGACTGGGGAGCTTTAATTAGGAAGACTGGGAAACAGCGGGGCCCTTTTCTCTGGGGAGTGAGCAGTCCTTAGGAAACGCAACAGACTGAAGTTTTAACCTAGTGCCTTTCCCTCCTCCTCCCAGCTTCTCAGCAATCAGTACTGTTATTTTTCTCCCACAGATCTTCTTCAAACTCACAAACACTTAGAAATCACTGTTTGGGGGCGAGGGGAGCAGTGGGCAGGGAGCCATGCCTCCCCTCAGGGTCTCATCTTGCTTATCTGAGAGAGGAGAAGGTGAGGCCAGGAGGAAACACTCCAGCTCGGATGCACTATGATTTTCTAAGGTCAGAGACACGGGAAGGGAGGCCACAATGACAAAGTCCAGCAGGGGAGGGAGCTGGGTGGAGCAGCCCCAGGAAAGGAAGGAGACCGCAAGATCAACACAGACAGAGCCAAGGCAGGCAGACACGGAACTCCGGGGTCTGTGGGGCCCCTGCCTCGTCCTGAGAGGTGTGAAGGTGTGTGTCCTCCAGCAATGGCCAGCCACCCACCTGCAGGGGGAGAGTTGGTCCCAGGGGAACCAGGGAGAAGGAGACCCCGGAGGATCAGTCAGCTGCGACAGAGAAGAGCATGTGCACCAGGAAAGCCAACCCTCTGTTTCCACGGTTTCCTGTTTAGGATTTTCTCTCCCCCAGCTTCCTAATACACAGCTTCCCTGCTGAGTAGCCCAGCTGTAGTGAACAGAAAAGGGGATCTGTCTACTCCCAGACCAGGATAAGGAGGAGACTCCAGGGCTCTCCAACCTTCTCTGATTGTGCCCTCCTGGAGGTAAAAACTTCTTAAATAAGCAACTCCAGTATATGTATTTGGTTTATAAAGCACATACCTGCTATTATTGAATTGATGCATTATGTACACTATAAAACATACATAAAATGGGATGTGTAAGAAAATGATAGTGACACATTTAACTTCTGGTATTCCCTCCCTGCACCCAGTGAGTTATCCCAGTGCCTGGCTCGGAGCCTTGAGTGAGACGAGGAAGCTATAGACAGAGTGTGCACAGAAACCTCAGCAGGCCCCAGAGGGAACGGGGAGATTTTTCACACACTCATCCTACCTTACGCTGCAAGTTATTTTAAATAGAGCCATCCTACATAATAAAGAGCTAATATGCTAATTAGACCGGACAGTGGGAGGGGGGTGGGCCCGTGAGGCAGCTGGGGCTGCTGCGAGGGCCAAACCCCTTGCACTAATTTTGTGCACTGGGCCTCTAGTTCCTTTATAAACACACAGAAGCCAAAAGAGAAGGGGAGAAACTGTGAGGGAGGGACAGAGATAGTGTGTAGAAAACTGAGAGAGGCCAGTCTAAGGACTGGAAAACAAGAGACAGGGAGAATTCATCAGGGCCAGTGAGAGGCAGAAGCAGCCCCACAGATGAGGGTGCTAAGAGGAGAGGGCTCTCAGGAAAGGCCTGGTCGACGGGCAGCCCAGGGGCTCCCTCCTGGACTCTCACCCCAGGAATCATGCTTCTTGTAGTCACAGTACTCCACATGCTCGGGCCGTGGGTAGAAGATGTAGGCACAGCCACACTCCTTGACCATGCTCTCCTGGAAGCAAGAGTGAATACACACCTACAGAGAAAAGAGTGAGGGGGGAGGAGGTCAGGCCTGCGCTCACCCACAAACAGCCCAGAAGAGACAGAGAAGGGAAGGACAAATAATTCTCTGTGCTGCACATCCATCCCTCTTTCCCCTGTTTACACACACACACACACACACACACACACTCACTCACACACACACCCTTCAATTTTGACTGACCAACAGTGCAGGCCTGGGAGATGGTTGCCATAGAAACAGACTGGCCTCACCTGCTGTGTGTACTTGGAATGGTAAAGGTTCTTGACAGGGACGTCACTGCCATTATAGGTACAGTCTCCATAATTGCCCCCAAGTCTGTCCAGGGTTTCCTGTGAATATACACACACCAAGATGTCAGAGGTCGCAGAGCAGAGCAAGTGGCCCAGGCCTCCTCCTGAATCCTCTGTCTTCCCTCAGTCTCAGGTTGCATCTCCTACCCTGCCAGCCTCTCCTGTCTGCCTCCCCATTTCAAAACATGGTCCCAGTGGCCCCAACATCCACCTCAGTGCCACTTTCAAGGACACCAGGCCGACAGCATCCTTCGCATGTTCTGAATCCCTTCTAAGCACTCTCATCCAAGGCCCACTCCTCTGGTCCCTTCTTCCTGGTGTCCACTCTTCCAGCCCCTTGCCCCTGGTTTCTGCTCCTGTAGACCTCCACATACTCAAGGTCCTAGCCTGCATGATCCCCCCTCCTCAGCCTCTGGTTGTCAAGTCAACTTCCCATGCCCCTCGCCAATCTAGGGCTCTCCTCCCAGGCTTCCCAGGCAGCATGCTTGCCTTCCTCATGCTGATGGAGGTCTCCACACCAGGCCGCAAGTTAAAGCCACCATCATCCATAAAGGCAGGCTCATCCTGCCCGTGCACCGTTACCCTGGCCCCAGTCACTGTGGACAGCAGCGGGATGAAGTCATTCTGCTCTGTGCGCAGTGTCAGGGACAGACCTGGGGTGTGTAGAGGGAGCAGAGTTGGGGGAAGGTCTTGGAAAAGCATTAGGAGATGGAAAACACCCTCCCACTCTGCCCAGTTCCTAATGCTCCAAGGAGAGCAAAGCAGAAAGACCTACAAATGGATGGATTCTGGGGGCGGGCTGGAAGGACTGGGACAGGGTTCCTATCACACCTGGAATGGACAACATGGTACCCATAGTGGAGAAAGAACAGCGAGGACTCCTTCTTGGACTGAGATGGGCACATTACGGCGATGCCCAGAGGCTCACGGTATCTCTAGGATGGAGCTCAAGGTGGGTAAATGTGGGTGGGCAGGGCAGTAGGAAGGGCTGAGGCAGGGGTCAGGGATTGAGAGTATGGGGTGTTGCTCACCATTGTTGACCCCAGGCATAGAAGACATCCAGAGGTTTGAGTTGTTCTCGCCATTGAAAGTGTAGCAGTTTCCATATATCGGGTGGTGGAAGTGAGAGTAATTCCTATTCAGGAGGGAGAGAGAGAACGGTCACAGAGAAAAGGGACCAGGGAGGGAGGGACTTTCAGAACCTTTTGTTTCCTGGTCATCTACTATGTGCCAACATCCTGCGAGGGCAGCATCTCCACAGCACAAAAGAGGAAGATGGGGCACAAACAGTGATGACAAACTTGGGAGTCAAACCCAGGTCATTTACCTGCTAGCCCGGGTTTCTCCCAGCAGGCCACTTGACTTGCCTGGCCTTGTGGCCTCTCTTGTGTCACTGTGTTGCATTGTGGAGACTCTTGCAGTGTCTCTAGCTTCTCACATGTCTAAAGCATAGTTCACCATTTGGATTCTGATCTCCTTAAAGACAGGAGCCAGATCCCATTCATCTCTATCATCTCTGGGTTAATTGAATAGTTGTTGGCATATAGGAGACAATTAGTAAATAGTTAATAAATGAATGAAAAGGAAGGGAACTGCAGAGAGTAAGGCCATGGATGAGCATGGAGCTGAGAAGAGGAAGATCAGATCCCAAGGCAGAAATGAGTAGGGTTCTGATTGCATGGCTCTGAGAAGGTCATTTTTTCTAAGCTTATTCTTCTCGTCTATAATAATAAAAGTATAATATGCTAATTATACCAGACAGCCTAATGACCTTCCGGACATCATTCCGGATGTCCTTCCAGATGAAGCTGCAGTGGCACGGGCTAAGGCAGAGAAGGTTAGGGGCTCAGGCAGGCATAGGGGTTAGGGATGATCAGGCAGGCAGGCACAGTGGTTAGGGACAATCAGGCAGGCAGGCAGGCCAGCAGTTAGGAGCCAGCAGTTCCCAGATTGCGAGGGGGATGTCTGACTGCGAGATTGGGCCTAAACCAGCAGTCGGACATCGCCCAAGGGGTCCCAGATTGTGAGAGGGTGCAGGCCGGGCTGAAGGACACCCCCACTCCCATGCAAGAATTTCATGCACTGGGCCTCTAGTCTATAATAATAAAAGCTAATATGCTAATTAGACCAGACGTCCTTCTGGATGACTAGCCATACGAAGCTGGGGCTTTGAGGGAAGCCTGGGTCCCAAGTGCCAGGGGAAGGAAGGCCTACTCTTGCACAAATTTCGTGCATCGTGCCTCTAGTTGTAAAATAAGGAGATTGGAACAAGGTGATCTGGAATATCCCATTGGCCTTGAAGAATGAAGGCACAGAGGTGTGAAATATTGGTGCACATTCTGGGAAGCACTAGAAAGTCAACATTTGCAGAGCAAAGGCTGGATTCAGGGAGTGATGGAAGAGGAAACTATAAAAGAGAGCAGGGGCCAGGGCTGAGGGGCCTGTGAGCCCTGCTCAGTGGTAGAGGGGACAGGTGCCATGTGTGGATGCACACTATGCAGCAGGTAACAGAGCAGGTGCAGCAACATGGATGGATCTTAAAATTGAGAGCTTAGTAAAAAAAGTAAGAGGTGAAATGAGATACACAACACACCACTTACATTACGTACACTTTGTGCAAAAACAGATACAAAGGGATACACACTAAGTACATTGTAAGAATATATGAAAAGCAGTATAACATGAAGAGCACAGACTCCAGAACCAAATGACTCGTATTTGAATCATAGCTCTAACAAGTATTAGCTGTGGGACCAATGAAATCACTTTATTTCTGTGTGTTGTAATTTCCTTATCTGTAAAATGGATACTCTTACCTCACAGGGATGTTATGAGGATTAAATGACTCTCAGAACAGTGCTTAGCACTTAGGAAGAGCTACATAAGTTTACTATTAACATTATAGGGATTTATTAAGATGGCTAACATCAGCCCTGGCCAGGGAGCCCAGTTGGTTAGAGTGTTACTTGATCCCCAGTCAGGGCACATACAAGAACCAGCAAGTGCCTTCATAATAAGTGGAACAACAAATCTTTCTCTCTCTCTCTCTCTCTCTCTCTCTCTCCCGCTCTCTCTCTCTCTCCCCTTTCCCTTCCTCTCTCTCTCTAAAATCAATTTTTTTTAAAAAAAAGATGGCTAAAGTAAAAAAGACAGACAATAACAAATGGAGGATGTGAAGAATTTAGAACTCTCATACATTGCTGGTGGGAATGTAAATGGCACCGCCACTTGGAAAACAGTCTGGCAGTTCCTCAAAATGTTAAACATAGAATTACCATATGACCCAGCAATCCCACTCCTAGGTATATACCTAAAAGAAATTAAAACATATCCATACAAAAACTTATACAGGAATGTTCATAGCAGCATTATTTATAATAGCCAAAAAGTGGGGGGATGGGGGCGGGGACACAAAAAGTCCATCAGCTAAGGAATAAACAAAATGTGGTATATCCATACAATGGAATATTATTCAGCCACTGAAAGGAATGAAGTACTGATACATGCTGCAAACATGGATGAACCTTGAAGACATTATGTTAAGTGAAAGAAGCCAGATGCAAAAGAACACATGTATGATACATTTATATGACATATCTACAGTAGGAAAAGCTATAGACACAGAAAGTAGAATAGTGGTTTCCAGGGCTTAGAGGAGAGGAGGGAATAGGGAATGACTGCTAATCAGTACAAGCTTTCTTTTTGGGGTGAAGATGTTCTAAAATTAGTGATAATGATTGCAAAAGTCTTTGAATATACCAAAAAAACAACAACAAAAAAACCACACAACAACAACACTAAATGGTATATGTTAAAAGGGATGGTTTTAATGGTATGTGAATTATATCTCAATAAATTTGTTTTTAAAGAAAAAAATGTTGAGCCCTGTCTGGTTTGGCTCAGTGGATAGAGCATCGGCCTGAGGACTGAAGGGTCCCAGGTTCGATTAGGGTCAAGGGCAGATGCCTGGGTTGCGGGCTCAATCCTCAGTAGGGGGCATACAGAAGGCAGTCGATCGATGATTCTCTCTCATCATTGATGTTTCTATCTCTCTCCCTCTCCCTTCCTCTCTGAAATCAATAAAAAAAATATATTAAAGAAAAAATGTTGAGAGAAGGGGAAAGGGTGCCTGACATTGGGGAGAAGAGTTGGGTGAGAACGACATGATGAAGAGCTTCAACTTGATTCTGAAGGCCATGAGAGATGTTGAAGGATATTAAACAGGACTAACTGGCACAGTTAAGTACAGTGAATTGAAGTAAGAACAGTGATGTATAAAGCTTCCTGTCATTACAGAATGAAGAGGGGATATAGAAAGGCAAATTGGGAGGGGGTGGTGATGGTGGTAACAATAACCTAGGTGAGAAATAATGAGGCTCTGAGCTAAGGAAGTGACCTAAGCATCAACACTGAAATGAACCTTGGTCTTTCCATTGATAGGGAGGTAGGAGCATAGGGCAGGCAGACTGAAAGGATCAGTGGGAAGGTGACAGACAGCTAGAGAGAATGGGTGGCAGTTGTGAGCTGACCCAGGCTCAGGTGCTGCTACTGTCCCACTTCCTGGCAGCTCCTGTCCTCAAACAAACACAAGGCTAGATAGAGGCAGGAACAAAATCGTGTGCTGGGCAGAGTGTATGTGCCAGGTGAGGGGTGGAGGCAGAAGCAGGTGACACCTGGCCCTGCTGCCATTCGGCAGCGACATGGGAGGGAAGGGCTCCCTGTAGAGTGGAGAGGCTGCCTCAACACCCTTCCTCAGCCAGGCAGAGGCAAGAATATGGCACCTGAAAATTAAGGATCCGAATCAGGGAGGGAAAGGTGGGGGTAGGAGGAGCCAGAGACTACAGAAGGAAACTTCCCTTACTCCTAGCCTCTCCCAGCCCTCAGAGAGCTAGCAGGTGCCATGACCTCTTTACAAGGTCATTATGACAGGAATCTTAACAGAAAGAATCCCTGGGGGAAAGAATCCTTAAACTAGGGCTGGCCTGGTGGCCTAGGGCAAGTCACTTCTGCTTGAGTACAGAGTAATGAGACCCAACATTCATTGTAGTTTACTAAGTGCCCTAGAATTTGACATCTCATGCACTTGGAGATGTATATTATCACCATCTTCATCACTGGAGTAAATGTGCCAAAAGGGCAAGGATTCTATATATTTTCTTCTCTGATGCATCCCAAATGCCTTAGACCAGTGACTGGCACATAGCCTACCCGTGGTTGGCAAACTGCGGCTCGCGAGCCACATGCGGCCCTTTGGACCCTTGAGTGTGGCTCTCCTAAGCCTTAGGAGTACCCTAATTAAGTTAATAACAATGTACCTATCTATATAGTTTAAGTTTAAAAAATTTGGCTCTCAAAAGAAATTTTAATCATTGTACTATTGATATTTGGCTCTGTTGACTAATGAGTTTGCTGACCTCTGGCCTAGACAGTCAAAACTATTCGTTGTATGAACATTGAATAAATCTCATTTTCAGCCCATTTTACAAACAAACAAACAAGTTCTGAAGAGTGATTTGAAATGCCCAGGTTCACCTGGTCAGGAAGTAACAGAGCCAAAGCAGGAACTCAGGTTTAACCCCTCACTTAGTCCATGCTATATCCATCACTTGCCTGCCCATCTCATCTGAGAAAGTGGAGGATGGAAGCAGACGACCTTCTGGGCACTTTTGAGTTTGATGCTAGTGAGAAAGAGGCCTTAGATAGACAGGGAACCATGCCTCCAGCTCTTGGTTTCTCAAAGCTGGACCTCCACCCCAACCTTCCCAGGGCAGCCATCTGAGGCTACCAGGGCAGCCATCTGAGGCTACTTCACTCAGACCCAGCCCTGCAGGGAGCAGCAGAAGTCCTACAGAATGATCCAGGGGACAGAGGTGTGGACCTGAGGTCAATGCATCCCCTCCTCTGTACAGGAATTTATTTAGTCAACAAGCATTTCCTGGGTGCCACTCCTGCTGGGCCTCAGGCTGGCTCTGGGAGGGAGACACCAGGGGTGGGGAGTGGAGCACAGAGGCAGACAAGACAGACTCACGCCTGGCTGCAGGAGACCTGGTTGAAGCGACAGCTGAAGATGAAGTTGCCCAGCTTGTCCTCCTCCAGGGATGTGAAGGAGTCTGGCAATCTCGACAGAATGTTGATGTAGTGGAAGCGGTACCACTCCCTCACCGCATCCACCCCTGATGAGTATGTCTGGTAGAAGCAGTCGGATTTGTTCTGGTTACACTGGAAACAGAGACCAGCGCGTCAGAGGGCCAGCAGCAGGGGTCAGGCAGCAGGGCAGGGCCAAGATCAAGGACTGAAGGGTCGGGGGTCCTAAGGACCGACCGACAGGAGTGGGGAACCAGGAGTAGACCAGAACAGAAGGCAGAGGGGAGCAGAAGCCTGTAGGAGAGTGGACCAGAGGACATGGGATTAAGGGAGTGGGAGGCCGAGGAGACCAGAAGCTGTCATGTATACAGTCTCTGCCAGAGAGTGGAGCAAGGATTCTTCTCCCCATTTCACTGATGGGAAGACTGAGGGACCAACAGGTTTGTCCCAGCAATAAAGCTAGGACTAGCTAGCTATGATTAAAGGAGGCTTCTCTTTCTTCTTCCCCCTGCTGCTCTCCCACTTCCTCTTCTTCTCTTTCTTTCTTCTTCTTTTTTTTTTCTTTTTTAGAGAAGAGATTGGGCACATTCAGGGTGGTATGGCCTTTCTCTATTTTTTAAAATTTTTCATTGAAACACATTTTAAGTCTGCGTTTTCACAGTCTCCTGATTCTCTGCCTGAGACCTGCAAAACCCCGGTTCCCTATCACACTGGAGGTTCCCAAATAAGTCCCACCAGGGGGACCTGCATTTCAGAAAGGGGCATTTTTCACAGCAGATTTGACTTCCGGCCACCTAAACGTTCCCACAGAAGCCCACGGAGAGGAGAGACCCCCACAAGCTGACGCTCAGAGAGATGTTATTTCGTTTTATTTTTCAAAATGTATTAATTTTGACAGCCAGCTGACGAAGCTGGCTCATCATTAGCCAACAGAGGCGGGTGGGGAAAGGGCGCGGGGTCCGGAGAGTGAGCGGAACCGGAAAGGCGTGGGCTGCGCCCGTCGG